TATTATATCTACAAAATGATTCTAGGATAGATCTGGGATGATAATACGAATTGTCATAAAACAAATTAAGTAAAATGTGATCATTCTGGAAAACATGAATGAATAAAAGTATAGTCAAATGATTGATTAATAATGATTTTAATGTATTTAATATATTGATTGAAAATACGAGATTATATACAATGTAATTATAATTGAAGACTATGAAATGGAAGCACAAAACAATTTGTAAACCAACCAGCACACTGTATATGCATATATGGAAGATGATTTGATGTTTTTATGTTTTGTTTGTTTATGTTTGTTTTAAAAACCAATAAAAAATTTTTTTAAAAAATTGCAAGGAAATAATGAAAACCAAAAGTCTCCAAACACGAACCAGGATAGTCCGAACTTCCACAAGACTTGAAGTGCAAGAACTTCTTTGCTTCCTGCAAAGAATCCCATCTCCGAGGACTGGCTTTTATCCCTTAAGGGAGGGGCCATCACCTTGCAGCCTTACTCCTGAGTCACCTGTGCTGCTGCAACTGCTCTTTCCTTCGAGCAGCCCTGTGCGCGCACACGCATTGGGCACAGGCTCCTTGGGTCTTCTGCATCACTGCTCCCAGCCTTCACAAGCTCCAAAGGCAGGAGTAATAATCCCGGTCCCATCCCTGCATCACATGCAGGCCCCTCATCCAAGTCCTCACTCTCCAACACCTCAGCCGTCTGCACCTGCTGCTGGCTAACCACAACACTAACCTGCTTTCCAGCTCTGTTCTCCTGTGCAGGGCAAAAAAAGAAGACCCAGCCAATCAGCTGGGACTTGGGAGGCAGAGAATAGATGGGGGCTCGGCCTGTCAGAGGTGGTATTTGCAGGTTCTCTGAACTTCTCAAAATTTCCGCTACCGGTTTTCCAGAATGGGTCAGAACCTGCTGAATACCACCTCTGGTCTTATTCTTGGGGATTGTTTCTTAATTTTTAGCCAAATGCCTTAAATAACGCACTAAACTGGATCTCAATGTCACAAAGTAAAATTGGTATATTCCATAGGCTTACATAGTACACTCTAGTGAATGGTGATGATGGAATTAGACATGAGTTTGGGGGAGATTGTGGAACACTCTAAATGAATGCAGTCAGGGAGGGGGAATCTGTTTGATGGAATGGATAGATGGAAAGGAAATTAATCTGTAGAGAAAAGGTGACTGGAACATTCAAAATCCAAAAGTGAAGAAAAGTGGGAAAAGGTGAATGGAATATGTGGCTCAAATATCTCTTTTCATATGTACCAGAGGTGGTATTCAGCAGGTTCTAACCAGTTCTGGAGAACCGGTAGCAGAAATTTTGAGTATTTCGGAATACCATCTCTCACTGGCCCCGCCCCCATCTATTCTCTGCCTCCCGAGTCCCAGTTGATTGACTTAGTCTTCTTTTGTTGCCCAGCATAGGAGAAAAAGAGCTGGAAAGCAGGTTAATGGGGTGCAGAAAGAATGGAGATTTTACAGTATCCTTCCCCTGCCACTCCCACCAAGCCACACCATGCCCACCAAGCCATGCCCACAGAACCGGTAGTAAAAAAATTTGGATCCCACCACTGATATGTACTTCTGGCAAAGAAATGTATGTGATTGAAACATGTAATATCTGGAGAGTGTATGGTACATACAAGGAATCCTTTTGATGAATTTAAGAATTTGGATGTTGAGGCTAATGTATACTTTTGTAAACAGATGTTACCTTTTTGTTAACTGACAACTTAACTGATTTTCAGCAAATGCTAGGTAGATCGCATGATGCCATGAGGAGTATGTACCTGAAAATTAATCTAAGATTGTTGTTCATGCTTATTTCTGGATGATATCTCAAACTACATACCTAGTACATGACCCTAACTCCCCAGCCTCCCACCCAGTGGTGGGCTTCCACCGGTTTCACAACTGGGTGAGTATGCGCTTTGTGCACATGCAGCACATTACAAAACCACCATTTTACAGCTTTAAAACTTACATTCCACTGCAACACCGCTGAGTAAAACAGCTGAGACGTGGTAATCTGCTGTGCCGTGCCTCAGCTGAGCTTCAAAACTGCAGAAATAAAGGACAGACTAAAGCAGGGGCAGGTGGGCGGGCCCAACCAATCGCCACAGCAAAGGGTTCACCCAAACCCATGCGAACCTTGAGCAGCCAACCCCTGCTCCCATCCCCAAATCTTTGTCTCTAAAATACAGGCATTAGCACCATTGTGTCCCTTATAGTGAGAGAATGAATGAGATCTACATACCAATTAGGATGTCTACTATGGATTATTTAATTGATTACCTTCTTTTATACCCAACCCTGCACTTCTATACAACAGTATGATTTTTACTAGATATTTCACATAATGTCAAGAGGCTGTGAGTCCAAGTGAAGGGGGAGGGGAGGTTAAAGGGAGAGAAACTGGACGTGCAATCTGCTGAGAGTGATTTGGCTGGAGCGCAGCTGCAGCAGGAGGCTTCAGGTGGGGAAAGCATGCAGCTGCAGCCAGTCAGTCATGAGGAAGAGGAACTGCCTTCTGCATTCATCCGAAACCATGTAGGGAAGTTTTCCTTCCGCATTCAGATCACTTGGAAATGGAATTGATTATGTTGTGTAACAGTAGAAAACAGCACTTAGCTTTATTATGCAATTAATTACATAATATGATATGTTTCCAGGCCATGTGAAATAGCTTTCGGTATCACAAAAATTCACAAGTATTAAATTATTACTGTCTACCAACTTTAGATCAGATCTCATTTTTTCCCCCCTCTTCTCTACTGTTATCTACAAAAGTGAAATGTATCACTTTACTTTAAATAAGTAGATGTACAATTGAAAGGGAATAGGTCAGTATGCAAATTATAAAGCCATTTTAAAATATATCATAGAAATCTAAAATGCATGATAGACTACTACAAGAAACAAAAATAGCTTAAAATAATCAGAGTCAGTCCACATTAAAAAAAAAACCCAAAACATCCATTTGGCAATAAAATGACTTTCATAAGCAATAAGGATGGGGGTTTGCTTACTTATTGTTTATTTGGCTTTGTTTCTTTTTTATTTGTTCTTTTTAATTTCTTCCAAACTGTTATGGAATATCATAAATGTGACTTTTTAGAATGTCATAAATAAATCTTTCTTGACAGAGAATTCCATTCTCACACTGCAGAGAAGACTTTCTATTGCATTTGGGTCAGTTTTGTGTCTGTCACTTCTGAGTCACAGAAAAATTTCTGGAGCTTGAACAAAAAAAAAAGGAAGCTGAACTTGATTACCTCAACTAAGCAGTGCATTTGGAGAATTAAAATAGATTGAATCTCACATTTAGCACCTGTGATGGCAAAAGGAAGCAAAAGCTTATTTTTACTTTGAACTTGTAAACATGACATGATCGAGTCTGATTCCTCATGTTACATTATCTTGTTAGGAACTAGGCTCTTGTCAGCCTTTTGTGACAAATAGAAAGAAATATTACTTATCTCCATACAAACGGGATGAAATTGACAAAAGGCAATGGATATTGAGCCCGTGCAATTGACGGAGGTAGGTAGACTTGAAAAGATACAGTCACTCAGCAAAACTGCAAGAGGGTGCAATCTATGGCGTAATCCCATCAAAGTTCCACTCTTTGGTCTGAAGAACCATACCAAATGCTATTTCCAGTGCTGCTGCTTCCCAAAAAAGGGCTCCTTTTACATAGACAAAGAATAATCTGGTTTCCTTCCTGTGGTTTCAACATCCTAACAGAAAGTCAGAGTTCTAAAATTTCCAGCTCCACAATTCAAAATTCCTAGGAAGAACTTACATTTCTTTTGCATTCTGTCCCTCTTTTCTGTAAAATGGAACCCGGTAATTATTATTTCAATAAAATGTATGATCTTTCATTAGTTCCTTAGAGTTATGCTCCATTTTTCACAATATCTCTTTCACAAATCGCGGTGGTATTCTAGCAACATTTAAGCATATAACTTGTTTTAAATCATAGACTGCAGAAGAATACAGAGCTGTTTCAACTAATTACAAGAGTGTTTGATCAGTTTGGCTTTCAGATTAATAATCTATCCATGCAAATGTCATCTTCCAAAGGAAACGCGGCTCCTTTTGTGAAACTGCCGTTACTCCTGGTACTATAGTCCTTGTAGCAGTTTTCTTGACTACTAATATATTAGAGGCAAAGTAGATATTTTATATAATTTTATAGTGTTTATTTCCACATGACTACATAAATTAGGGTAAATACATCTATGGATAAGAAGGGAGGAAAATATTATAGCATAATTATTCTTCCACTTTGATAAATGAACTGGAAAACACAAATGATGTTCTTTTGCGTAATTGGTTTAGAAAAGCTACTCATATAGTAATAGACAATTGAGACATGCTTGCTACATAAATTGTACCAAAAGTCATAACACAAGTCTTATTTATAATCTGTTCTTTCAAAAAGATATACCAAAATAGCAGACCTTCCCACTCACAATTTTTAAAAATGTAAAAAATAAAATAAACAATTGATGTGGTATGTATGTAGTATAATTTCTCAGTGTGTTGGGCATTCAGAACATAAACTCTGTCTAAGAAGCTACCCTCTGTCTCATATATGATTGTTTTTAAAAGAGCAAAAATGCCCTCATATTTATGTTGTTTCAGAACTCAGAATTTTTTTTAAAAAAAATCTACTAAATGTGTATATAAGTCTGGTGATGCTCTAGAACTGAGGTTCCTACATCAATATACAACTGAGTTAAAAATAAATTTTCTTTTGTTTAATATCATCTATAATTCTATTTCCTGTGGAATTCCTCATCCAGAGAATAATAAATTACATGGACCCACCAGGTATCTCAATCTGGATGCAGCATTTTCATAACAGGATAGTAACTCTATGGTGGAACAAATGTGCATCTGAATCTTCTGTGTATTACTAAAAGGGTTAGTTAAAATCAGTCTAACTTCTTTTCTTTTCTCTTTTCTTCCTCTTCTTTCCTTTCTAGTCCATGAGTTTAATTGAGATTGGCAATCCTTCTCAAAGTTTAGAGAATGTGTGTCGTTGGGCCTACCTACAACAAAAACCTGATACTGGACATGCAGAATATCATGACCATGCAATTTTTCTCACAAGGCAGGACTTTGGACCTTCTGGAATGCAAGGTGAGTAATCTGCTACCAATCACCCCATCTAACTTGCACTGTTAACCTGGCTATTCAGTGAAAAACAAATCTCAATTATTAATATCTATGGGGATTCTCAGTCATCTAGATTGGGGTTATCCTGAAAGTGCTTTTTCAAGAACAACTGGACTTTTGGTTTTTCTTTAAAGATGTTTTGCTTCTCATCCAAGAAGCTTCTTCAGCTCAGAGCTGAAGAAGTTTCTTGGATGAGAAGCAAAATGCCTTCAAAGAAAAACCAGAAAGTCCAGTTGCCTCTTGAAAAAGCGCCTTTGGATCAATTATTAATACTTTGCTACTAGGCACAGATGGACAATTGACATTCTATAGATCCTATGCAGGCCTCCACTATTCTCCCATTGAACCCCTGGAGTTGTTGTGCTTGCCACCATTTAGTCAAAGAGCCATGTAATATCTCTGAGACATACTGTGGTCTATCCTTCTCCACACCAACAGCTAAAACCTTTGAAGGCTATTGGGTATCTATACTATTGGGTGTCACCAACATAATCTTATGTTTTAAATGGCTTCTCTTTCCTTGATTTCATGTTTATGGAGAAGATAGTTTAAACAGATAAGGAAGGGTTTGCCTACATCAGTCATCTTAACATGGGCACCCTCTCAATTTTTTGCAGGTAGCATGCTGAGTAGGGAATTCTCAGAGTTGACTTCTGCATCTAAATGATGCCAAGTTGGAGGATAATGTCTTATGTGATACACAACAAAGGGCTACTAACTAATCTATCAGTTCAGACAGTACTTGAAGGCAGGATAATGTGTGTTCCTCCCACAGCCTTAGAAGGAGTATTCATCCCATATCTGTTTCTCTGTAATTGGCCTGGGTCAAGTGGTTTCAGCTTTACTCTTCTGTGTTCAGGGATTTCTGAATATTCTTATTCTTAACAAAGCCAAAGTAATCTTGCAAGTTAACAGCCTTGCCAAATGCAGTGCAACTACTTTGGGATATAGATCTTAGATGTTTTAGTTGGAAAGCATAGTAATTTCTTGAAATATATTTCTGAACCGAAGAACATATTTCATTTACAAGATTTTTTTTTTTAGCTATGATGCCCACATATTTCTCAAGGAATATAAAAACAAAAAGGAAACAAAACACCATGACTGAAAAGTACAATTCAATCCTTTCTTCTCCAGCTAAATTCATGGTCGGCTCAGTTGGTTAAAAGTTAGCAGGAAATTCATTCATAATTAAATGCTGGGCAACCTGCTGTTTCAATTTCAGTTACCTTTTCTAAATATTTAATTTGTATGAAAGGTTTTAAGAACAATAATAAGAACAACAACTGCACAAAAAATTGAACAGAAAGAGTGAAAAAGAAATAAAGAAATAATAGGAAAAAAATAAAAGCACAGTAAGAAAAGAATATAGGGAAAATTAGGGGAATAGCAAGATATAAAGGCATAAAGAAGAGCCTTCTGATTCTTCACAGTAGCTTATAAATACAATTATATTTTAATCTCATTCACTAAAGTTATAGCTCTCTTCTTTATATAATCTACCTAATCACAAGTTCATTCCTTTTCCGTTTTATGCAAAAAATCTATAAGGCTTTCCAGTTACTAATAAATGTGGATATTGACTTTTCTCTGTTGTTGTTGTTTCAGTTACCTAAGTTGTGTTCAGAATTGTGTGCATTTCCCTGAATGCAATGTTGCACTCACCTAGTATTGTAAGGTCTTCAGATTTAATTTCACTCACAAGTTTTTTGTTTTCTTGAGAGTCATTTTGTAACTTAGTTGCATAAGGGTGATTAGATCACTCTATTCTCATAAACAGCATATACAGGTTTTATTTTATTCCTGAAAATAAGACTTCATTCTGCTGATCTACATAACTGGGTGATTGTTTGAGTGATGCAAGGTTTATATGCTGGTTACTGAACAGTGCTGGACTTGGAAGCAAATTAACAGTCACCATGGTAATAATAGTAATAAAGTAACTGCTGAAAAAAGTTTGGGATTATATTTAGTAATTTAGTACAGGTGCACATTTTTAGGTGAAGAACTGGATTATTATTCAATGGAAAATATTACTTTGGAAGAATGTGGATTAGTTGGAAGGACAACAGATTGGGAAGGTTTGCTAGCCACACGCAGATCCTTTAGTCCATAGATGCTCTTCAGTATTATTCCTGCTCTTATAAGCAGGTACTAAAGAGATCAGAAAATAGAGTATTCCAAAGTCAAAGAAGTCTTCCTTGTAATGACTGAAATGTCAGTCACTAAATTCTGTTTTTTGTCCATGTCTTGGCCCACCTTGGCATTTTCCATATTAGAATGGTAAAGCTTTTTAAAGGTACTTTTTATGACATTCTATATCACTGATACAACTTTCTATTGTTTATTCTGAATAGGGTCCTAATTCACTTCAGCAGTGAAACTCTCTGAAAGAATTTTGATTTGGGAAAATCTGATGCACATTCCTAATTTCTGATTAGTTTCCATTTTGTACACACTCATTTTATAGCCATTGCATCTTATTTCTTATTATATTTCAACTGTACACATTTCTTCCTAAAATATTTGTGGTTTTATCATATTCTTAAAAAATGCTTTTATATATATAAACTCTCTCTAAAACATATATTTGGTAAAGATTTTTTCATAAAAGGCTCATCTTATTTACCGGCTCATTTTTTTTTTTAAAGCATAACTTTCTGCATTTTCTTACCATTTCAGAGCACAGCATCCATTCATTGTAATAAATTTCCTTTTCCTTTTCCTTTTTCTTTTTATTTAGGTAAGACATCTGTTGCAAGATCACTTGGAGACTGGTGCTCTTAAATAGTTATTTGAGCTTGATTTCCCTTTTCTTCATTAGTGTCTTATCTTCTCCTTAACAGGCTATGCTCCAGTTACTGGCATGTGTCATCCAGTTCGAAGCTGTACTCTTAATCATGAAGATGGCTTCTCCTCAGCATTTGTTGTAGCCCATGAAACTGGACATGTGTAAGTAGCACTTCCAAATAGCTGTAATGCAGAGGTGGTATTCAGCAGGTTCTGACCAGTTCTGGAGTAGCAGAAATTTTGAGTAGTTCGGAGAACCAGTAGTAGAAATTTTGAGTAGTTTGGAACTGACTGGCCTTGCCCCCATCTATTCTCTGCCTCCCAAGTCCCACCGGATCAACTGGGTCTTCTTTGGTTGCCCTGCACAGAAGATCTGGAAAGCAGATTAGTGAGATGTGGAAAGAACGGGGATTTTACATATTCTTCCCCTGGAGTGGGGTAGGAATGACAGTATCCTTCTCCTGCCCCAACCACCAAGCCATGCCACACCTACCAAGCGATGCCCACAGAACAGGTAGTAAAAAAAAAATGAATCCCACCACTGCTGTCATAATCCTGCATGTTATATGTTTGGTGGGATATGATTTCAGTCATTTCAGTGGAGAGAGTCAGGGCTTACAATCAAAAGGATGCAGTTACAGATTACTTTATTCCATTTGTACAGGGAGTCTTCTTCAGGAAGAAAAAAATTGATTCATTGAATCTTAGAATATATGAATTGGAATGGAACTTAAATGTTGTCAAGGCCCAACTCCTGCTCTGTGCAGGAATTCACTAAATTATCTATAACAGGTGATAACCATCTCTCCCTTGTTTGAAAACCCCCACTAATAGAGAGTCCATCACTCCTGCCCTCACTGTGTTATAATTTAGGCATAAAATACCTAATTATAAAATAATTATAAAATACCTAATTATAAAATACCCAATTTTATAATCCACCACTTTCCTTCTGCCAGGATACAAGTTGACACCTTCATTTCTTCTTCATTATTTATGTATTCAGTTTAATCCCATTACGTTTTAGTAAATTGGTTTTTAAATCGCCTCTAATCAGATTGTGGCCATTATCCATGGGGGTACAGCTTGCATTTGTAATATGGCTTAGAACCCTTATTGCTCTTCTTCTTACTTCTGAGTATATCTGAGGTAGGGAGGGGTCTATACATCAGATTTGAATAGTTTCTTATCTAGTGCAAATTATTTGAAGTTCTCTGAAGTTCAGTAACTTTGCCCAGCCAAATGAATAAGTTGATGATATGGTTCCCTTCAGTGATGGGATTCAATTTTTTTTACTACCAGTTCTGTGGGCGTGGCTTGGTGGGCGTGGGAGGGGAAGGATACTGTAAAATCTCTAGTCAGAGGTGGTATTTGCCGGTTCTCTGAACTACTCAAAATTTCCGCTACCGGTTCTCCAGAACTGGTCAGAGCCTGCAGAATATCATCTCTGGTTCCTTTGGTGACCCTCTGCATGTGGACTGAGGGTGAAGAAAGGAACTCTTTTCCACGGTCTTATAAAAATAACTCCCCAACCTTTGCAAACATTTTTCATGTTTTGAATTCTTCTCTAGCCAACAATAGCATCATAAAATATTTTATTGTTGAGAAAGGAAAAGAGAGTGCATTGTTGGAACCAATGTGTTGTGTAGAAAATAGTTCTAACTTTTTTCACCCTCTTTTTCAGAAAGACACAGAGTCACCAATGCACAAGGGAGAAAACAAGGGAATGAGTCCACATCCCCTCTGTCATATTCCTGATGTTTGTTTTCTATTTGGGAAGATGAAGATTTGCAGCAGGGCACAATCTTTTCCTGTGAAGGCTCCCATTTTTTTATGATTATTCTGGAACAGAAGGGATCTAAATCAGCGTTTTCAAACTTGACAACTTATGATGTATGGACTTCAATTCCCAGAGTTCCCCAGCCAACTTTAAGAGTTGTCAAATTTGAAAAACATTGATCTAAATAGAGATGGGAGCCTCCACAAACTGACCCTTCCTAAAGAAATTGTCTTTTGGTCATCATTCATGTTTGAAAGAAAGGAGAGCCGCTGACTCAACCTATTTTCCCCCTTGTTGAAAAAATACGGAGAGTAGACTGCCTAGTAGGATACTAGTAAAGCTGCCAAGCTTCCCTCCACACACTGGTGCTGTCCTCATCTAAAGTGTGGACAGAAAGTTGTCTTTAGAACAGGCCTGTACTTGTATGCATAAGATTAACCTCAAAGTGGCAAAATGCCAGGATTCCTTAAAGCTTTGTAATTATGCTTTTTGTAACAAAAAAAGGGAGGGGGTGTAAACACTAAGCAGTAAAGAGTCAGCCCACTCTGGTAGATCAGATGTTTTGCAAGAATTGTGATCAAAATCAAAATTCAGATGCATGGCAACTGGTTCATATTTATGTCCATTGCTATGTCCCAGGGTCATGTGATCACCTTTTGCGATCTTCTGACAAGCAAAGTCAATGGAGAAGCCCAATTCACTTAGCAACCAGGTTTCTAACTTATCAACTGAAGGGATTCACTTAACAGTGGCAAGAAAAGTCATAAAATGAGGGCAAAACTCTCTTAACAAGAAGAAATTTGGGCTCAATTGTGGTAGTAAGTCAAGGGCTACCTGTATTTTGTTTGCTTGATATGGAAATAACTTATGGTCACAGTTTACCAAATTACTTAACTTGCACAGCAGCAGTTAAGAATGGTGTTTTATCTGCACCATTCTTGAGAATTTGAACCTGATGTTCTCAGGCGGGATTTTATTGTACTTTAGCATTTGCTTTTTTTGTTTCCTGAACTGAAAAACCTTTAATGTCTCATGGGGGAAAAACTTCTGGAAATATATTTCTCCCAACACTTTCTATTTAGTGGATAGTCAATCCTGTTTTTTATATTATGCACTGATTGCTTCCTGTCCTTTTTAAAATCCTGATTTATTAGGATTCTTAAGATTGTACCTGTGCATGATTTGTCTGCTTTCTCCTCTAGCATTTGTAATTATTTATGACTGAAAAGTGAAGTAAACATAACAAGGTCAAAAGGGAAATGTCATTTCCTGCATTAACATAGATGTCAGCAATGTTAGGGTACAAGAATTTATCCTAAGGAATCTGCATTAGAATTCACATTAAACTCTTAGTGCATGCTCCTCAACAAGGAATAAAATAGGCAGTGTTGACACGTTATTAGATAAAGTTCTCTGCCACTTGGTCAAATGAGGCAGTGCCCCGCACACATGAATAACAATCAGCTGAAGCATTCACACTCCGATTATGGGATGCATAATAAGGACATTGACCTTATTGACCAGCTAGCCAGCAGAGCATTTTTAAGGCTTCCCACAAACAAGAGAAGAAATCAACATTGCAATACAGTATAAAGGCAGGGCAGTATTGGATTAGATTGAGTGATAGTAGCAGTAAAGATAAATGGGGCGCTAGAAGGCATCTTCATAAAAACATAAGGGAGTTCTAAGGGGTTGCCACAACGAAGAGGGGGTCAATATATCCTCCAAACGCACCTGAAAACAAGACAAGAAGCAATTGATGGAAACTAATCAAGGAGAGAAGCAACCTAGAACTAAGGAGAAATTTCCTGACAGTTAGAACAGTTAATCAGTGGAACAACTTGCCTCCAGAAATTGTTAATGCTCCAACACTAGAAGTTTTTAAGAAGAAATTGAACAACCATTTGTCTGAAATGGTATAAGGTTACCTGCCTGAGCAGGACTAGAAGATTTCCAAGGTTCCTTCCAACTCTGCTATTATGTTATTCTGACATCCTCAACCATCTCAGGCTTCAGGAGCCAGGACATCATAATACCATTGGAGCTAATATTCAAGATGTAGACTTGGATAGCAGATCAGTGGGATCTGCTACCCGTCTTTGACCTGGATCAAAGTAAATTAAGCCACTTTTCACCAGTGTCCTGATGTACAGATTTCACAAGACTTCACAGCAGAAGCCATGCTGTCTACAGTAGTCATGGGGTGAGAGGGTAGTCCAACTTTGGAAAAATCAGACTAAACCATGAACAAATGCATCACAAGAAGAATAAACAGCTGCTTTCATTAATTCTTTTAAAGCATTCCCTTTTGTTCTGACTCATTTTCTTCTAGATTAGGCATGGAACATGATGGCCAAGGGAATCGATGTGGGGATGAAGTGCGGATGGGAAGTATAATGGCACCACTGGTCCAGGCTGCATTCCATCGTTTCCATTGGTCTCGATGCAGCCAACAGGAACTGAACCGATACCTGCAGTGAGTACAAGGATGGAAGAGGATCCATTCTCAAGAGTCGTATGGCACCCTTTCACAAGCTAGAAAGCATGGTGCTGAATCAGAAATTTTTCCTGCTAGAAAATGTTATATAAGTTAAATGAAATTTGTTATCCCGGACTAATTTACTTGCTCTGAACTAAATAAGATTCACTTCAAAATAACCATTCATTGGATTGCTTTGTAAGGATATACTGAGACTATTTTGTAAGCAGCTACATCGTTTAATTTTTCAGAATAAGCTTCTTCTCAGTTCTGATTTTTTTAATCAATTTTTTTATCCTATCGTTGTTTTATTAGTTAAAACACATGTTTGTAAAATCTTTCCAGTCCCCTTAAAGTTACATTTATTAAATAACAAAACTCTGTTTTATGTTTTTAAAAGAACATTGGCAAAGAAAAGGGTCATTGATGAATAAAAGTTTTCTCTGTTACAGCATGGTGCTCTCTTTCATACATAAAATAAGGGATATGCCCTGAATATTGTGAATGATAACTAGGATTCTTATAATTGGCACCTCTGCTTTTGTGATTTTTAAGGAGGGGTATCACTTTTGAATTCATTTATCCAAGATTGGGGTAATTCATATTGTTAGATAACCAGATTGGTCCCTGTTACTAAACTCTTGCTTAAGTAACACATGTTAGTATAATTTTTGAAATGAAAATACAATTAGATTTTTTTGTAGCATCAAATATGCTCCATTTGCCAAGCTTTTGTCCCTGTGTTTATTTTTTTCGCTCTTATATATCCATTAGCAACATGTAAAAAAAAGAAAAAAAGAAGTGAGAATCACAGCATAAAACTGAAGAAAGGCTACAGACATAATGAAATTATTATAGCAATCATTTTTATGTAATGTAAACTGCTTCCATTAAATGCCAGTCATTTTTTTTACCAAACAGATGAGGCTAATAACAGCCAATAAACTTAATATGCATATGAAAATAGTTTCATCTCTACTTATAGCCACTTCTTTTTAAATTATTCTTCTCCTCTCCAGATGACGCTCTCAAGGTATTTATTATAGAGAGAGAATTTCCTTGCAATTGAGAGTTATAACTGAGGGCTATAATAAATGTTTTCTTGTTTCAGATGTTAATTTATTAAAGTGAATGCTGGGTTTGATATATCTAAATATGAAGTGTACTTTCTGAACTCATTTCTGAGAAAGCATGTCCTTGATTATGCTTGGAGCAATCATGGACCAAAACTCAAAATACTTAAAACCTCCCACATCCATTTGTGTGACACTGACTTTTGTCCATTGCAGTTCCTACGATTGCTTGCGTGACGATCCCTTTGACCATGATTGGCCTTCCCTTCCTCAACTACCGGGACTCCACTACTCCATGAATGAGCAGTGCCGCTTTGATTTTGGTTTGAGCTACATGATGTGTACAGCTGTGAGTATTTAATCAAACTCTGCTAGCCGTTATCCAGGGCCTTTGAAAGCACCCCTGAATAACTTTAAAAGGGAGCATCAGAAGATGGACAAAATGGCTGACAGGCACAGAGCAAAGCTTACTGGTAATCTTTGAGGTGTCTTGGAAAGATGTGTAAACATCCTGTTTTCAAAAAACTGGAATACTAACAATTATGATGCTATAATTTTATTAGAGGGTTTTGGAAATAAAAGGTCTATGGAAAAAAAGGCTTTTATTACAATTAGTTCCCAGAATTCCAGGGATTGATTGAATAAAGGTTTCTCTTCTGCCTCATGTAGGAGGGAATTAGATGCATGTACTTAATGACCCATCATAGTTATTTAGTGAGTGCAGCTGTTAATCTGTACATGTACTATCCAAAAGCAGTTGACATGACTTATCTATGCCCAGACTTGTTTCCCCCAAATCCTAAGAAATTTACAAAACAATAGTTGGATAAGAGCCTCCCCTCCCATTTAAAGCAATCTGGAAGCTGCAATGCAAAAAGTGTCATACATTTAAAACGTTTTTGAAACAACAGTCAGAAACTGAATAAAAAACAGTAAAGTAAAATTACTACTGAAAAGAAAGGTCCTTCAGATTCTGAAAGGTTATTAACTGCAAAGCTGGCCACCAAATCCACGGGAAGATTGCCTAAGGCAAAGCTGGCCACCAACGACTTTTGTTAGGTAACTTAAACTTAACACTATACTATTTTTTTCTGGCTCAGGGGCTTTCTGAGGCTTTCTGTGGTATGTAAATAATTGAAACAGAGCTTCTTGTCCCCAGCCCAATTCTGGCAATCAGGAAGACAATCTCTCCCAATTCTGGCATGGAATTAATTTGATTTTCCAGATGAAGAGCATTCTCCACAAAACATATGGCATGTGTACACAGAAGGTGGGGGAGAGGGAGAGGGAGAGGAAAAGAGAGAGGGAGGAAGAGAGAGTAAGAAATGTTTTCTGTTGAGAAAAAAAATGACTAGCCATGGATTTTTCATAGTCTGAGCAAAATAGCCTGTTGTGATAAGTAATCTTTGTTCCATTTGATCATCTTCTTTTCTGGATGCTCTAGATATTTATAATGTTACCATAGCAGTCATGTCTAGTTTAAGCCTGTAGTTATCAGTAAAATATTCTGTATCTTCAAAACCATCAATGTCTTTCTGTCCTGATAAGGTTGATAAGTGGATAGATAAGTAGGTACCAGTAGATAAGAAACATTTTCTAGACTGTTCAGCCCCCTCAAAGTAGATAATGCATTTACAAAACTCATAAAACAAACTGATAATGGAAACAAACTACAAAATTCACATAGAGTCTAACTAAAGAAGAATTAGCTGGGAGCACAGGTGGTATTCAGCAGGTTCTGACCACTTCTGGAGAACCGATAGCAGAAATTTTGAGTAGTTCGAAGAACTGGCAAATACTCCCTCTGACCAGAGATTTTACAGTATCCTTCCCCTGCCATGTCCACTAAGCCACATCCACAGAACCAGTAGTAAAAAAATTTTAAATCCCACCACTGGTTGAGAGGATCCAATTCAAATAACAGCAAAATGGGAGCTGTTATCAGGATACTTGTAGATCTGTGTCCAGCACCACCCTTTTCTTTGTTCAGCCCTAACTGTCCTCTATATTCAAGGGTAGTTCGCAGTAATGTATTCTAATTGCCAACAGAAATGTAATTGCATAGAAGCTTTGAAGAAGCCATTAGTAATATAAATACTTTTTCTAGTTCCGCACCTTTGATCCTTGCAAGCAGCTGTGGTGCAGTCATCCTGATAACCCCTACTTCTGCAAAACAAAGAAAGGACCTCCATTGGATGGAACTATGTGTGCTCCTGGAAAGGTAAGAAGCTTTGACTCATGTCTCAGATAGAAAAAGAAGAGTGGGTGGGAGAGGGAGAGAGAGAGAGAGAGAGAGAGAGAGAGAGAGAGAGAGAGAGAGAGAGAGAGAGAGAGATGCTCTTCAGGTTTAATGGGAAGCTACAGTATCTCCATCAAAAAGAGTTAAAAGATCAGGGAGTAAAAGGACAGAGGAGTTTAAAATATTTGCTTAATAATGTATATCTGGGTAAACATGACCATAACTAAAATATGGCCTGCAGGAAATTAGGAGTTTAACTATTTAAAATGTATGTTTTGAATTCCCAGAAAAATTGGAAGAACTTTGACCTTTGTTTACCAACACTATATGTAGTGGACAAAAATCTGCCTCTCGGTATGTCTAAAGCCCCATTCACCACTTTACAGATTCATAAAATTCTATCTTCTTTGTTTTGCATAGGCATAAAGTATCAAAAATCCCATTCAGCTCTATCATTCATTTTATTTTTATGAATAGCCTTTCCTCATTATTAGTGCATTAAACCCAAGGAATTAAAGGAATAGTGCTTGATCATTTCCTTAATCTGTTGCTAGACCTGAACTGACCCTCCTGTTTAGCCTTGCCAGATAGACCACACAGGAAGCAGGACCTGATATGCTAATTCTGCTTTATGGTAAAGTTTACATTAACAGGATTTTGCAAGTCTGAAAGTTCAATTTTCCTGCTGTCTTCTTTATAGCCCGAAAAAAACTAGGGTGGGTCCCTTCTGATCCTCTTGCCTCACCCATTGTCCAGCTGGGGGATATGCTGTCTCTTATTTGACCATTTGCTAGACAGCACCCCTTCAACCCCTTTCCCGAGTTCTTTCTCACAATGCCATTATACCAGAGGTGGTATTCAGCAGGTCCTGACCAGTTCTGGAGAACCAGTAGTGGAAAATTCAAGTAGTTCAAAGAATCGGCAAATACCGGCCAGTATCTGACTGGCCCTACCCCCATCTATTCTCTGACCTCCCGAGTCCCAGCTGATTGGCTGGGTCTTCTTTTGTTGCCCTGCACAGGAGAATGGAGCTGGAAAGCAGGTTAGTGGAGTGGGGAGGGAATGGAGATTTTACAGTATCTTTCCCCTCGAGTGGGGTGGGAATGGAGATTTTACAGTACCCTTCCCCTGCCATGCCACCAAGCCACACACACACACACACACAGAACCAGTAGTAAAAGAATTTGAATCCCACCACTGCATTATACTGCTGACTCAATGGGTAGATCTTATCTGGTTTTGTTTTCATCCAAATGCCTATCAGTTGAATTGCCTGCAGGTAAAGCAAGGATGAAATCTGGAAAATTGAGGATCTTCAGCTCTGAAGCAAATTTGGAGTTCCACTGGGGACAGCAGAAATGGAAATGAAGGTCCCATTGTGTCAGTTCTAAAACAACCCTTTTATTAAATAATTTAATAAGAGTATTCCGAATACTTCTGAACTCTACAGCAAAGCTTTATTCCTTTTCCACAATACACCCATTAGCAGTCATGCAGATTAATAAAAGAGTCTCATGGTTTATTAAGACCCTCAAGAAGAAGAAATAAATAGAAGTAATGAGGGTAATAAAAGCAAAAATAGCAATGCAGCATTTCCTTTTGTGGGGAAATGTATTTATTGCTATTGTAGAGCACAATATTGTTATTTCAGATAACAACATTATGGCCATTTTCAAAAACATGCTAAAGACAAAACTATGATTATGCCAAAGAGAAAAGTTTACTGGAGCAAATTTAAATTATCGGTATAAGATTACCAATCTCATCTTGGAGGGCTCTTTAACTTTTCATGTATGTGATTTTTTACATGCCTGAGTGCATGCATTTTTAATGATGTTATTAGCTGCTGAATAAATGGAGGGATGGGAAGGAGAAGAGGGAAAACAAGAGAAGGAAAACCCATCAAGATGGGAAATGGTGCTCCCCTTGCAAGTATGCCTTTCATTTGATGCAAAGGTCCTGTAAACTGAAAATATGTGTTGATTCATTTGTTCCCTAGCTCAGTCAGAATGGGCTGGGGGGGAAAGATCAAGCTAGCTTTTGGAAAATAACTCAGCTTATATTCAGGTCAACTTTGTTTTCCCTCTAGAGGTAATGCAAGCCCCTTCATTCAACTGGCTCCCCAGCTATTTCTTCCTACATTGATTCATTTACTAAGAGTGGGAGAATCTGTCTGTTTTCTTATCTTAATTGAATTGAGAGGTATCTCCTAAAAATCTGCATAGCCTTAATAGTCTTAATAGATTTACTGATTAAATCAAGAATGCTTTATCCAAATGGAATCTGCCTCTCTGATCTGAGCAACTCCCATTGAGAATTCTTCCTTCCTTCCCTCCCTCCCAACTCCCTGTAAAAAAAAAATGTGCATGGAATATTGCCTAGGCAACGGGCCTTGTCTATGGAAGCCCCGACACTGTGGAATACACTTTTCCCACAAACACATTCAACCTCCATATTCCTTGCATTTCTCATACTGGAAAAATCTCTATTTATCCCCACATGATTAAGTTGATGGTAGAATTTTTATGATTTGTTTTAGGTTGATTACATGATTTGTTCCCAGTTGTTATATGGTTTATATGGTTTATAAATCATATCAATGATTTAGTTGATTGTAGAATTTTTATAATTTGTTCTGGATTGGATTTATGTTTTGTGCTTTGAAGTTTACTGCTGAGTCTGTAAGGACTGGGACAGCCAGCAAATACTACTTATATAGTACCAAATTATGGCCCAATATTAATATCAGTGTATTTTTTACACCTATGGGTTAAATAAATCCTGATGGAAATTAAATTAGTCTTTATTTTTTAAGAGAAAGATTCCAACAATGGACATATAGAATATTTTCAGTAAGAAATAATGGTATCGTCAGCTGTACCATTAGGCAGAAGGGAAGACATATTGGGTACAGGCCCTGACCTTTCAACCTCTTGATTTGAATTTTCTGCTAGGAACAGCTCCTTCACTAAAACAAACACACAGTTTTCTTAAGCAGCTTGTTACCCTATTGAGAGCTCTGTGTGATAATCATCACTTCAGTTTGAAGGTGGCTGCTGCAAACCCTGATTATTGCAGACAGTTTTCAATGCATCTCTGAGGGTGTTCTATTAGCACCCCTGGTTGGATGTCTGTCAGGTGAAAGGAAATTGCTAATGCTTCAGTTATTAAGGAAAGAGCATGAGTAGGGATGGAAACTAATCAAGGAAAGAAGCAACCTGGAATTAAGGAGAAACTTCCTAACAATGAGAACCATTAACCAGTGGTATAGCTTGCTGTCAGAAGTTGTGGGTGCTTCATCACTAGAGTTTTTAAAGAAGAGACTGGACAGTCACTTGTCTGAAATGGAAAGGGCAGGGCTGCCAAACTCCCGGCCTGCAGGCTGGCTGCATCAGGTGTTGGCCATGCCTATGTCCGGTTTAGCAAAGGGGAGAAAGTCCCGATACATCACATGATGCAGCCGTGACAATGTGAGTTTGACACCCTTGGTATAGGGTTTCCTGCTTGAGCAGGGGGTTGGACTAGAAGACCTCTAAAGTCCCTTTCAGCTCTATTCTGATTGATCGACATAAAAGAGAACGTTGGGTAGAAAGTATATGACAAAATATTTTATTAATAATGTAATTTTTTTATTATTAACCTGTCGATGCCTCTGATAGAGTAGCCCTCAGATGAACTTTCCAATGTTTGTTATAATAGCTCAGATAAAAATTCTTAAGAAGAATAAAAATCCAACAGTATTGCCTCTTCCTTTACCATTCTGGTGTCCTTTCCTTTTTCTTTAAAGTTCTTTATGGCAAATACCGGCCGGTATCTGACTGGCCCCACCCCCATCTATTCTCTGACCTCCCGAGTCCCAGCTGATAGTTATTAAAATATTTAAGAATTCTTGTAATGCTTTTATCCTATTCAATTTCAGTTTCTCTGCAGGTTTTTTGTGTTATCTGCTGCAATTTATTTGCAGGTGTTCCCATCTTTTACGTATTTACTTTTTGATGCCTTTTAACCTTTATTTATGTTTAAGATATATGAATAAACTTCATTTCTACTCTTAAACTTACATATTAAACATATCAATCAGCCTATTAGTAAATATTTAAACATTTTGCTGTCAGGTGAGTTTTACCACTATTAGCCCTAATGCACTATTATGTATTAGGCTTCTTGCCATCTCTCATCACACCAGTCTCCAGGAAAACATTATCCCACGTTATCTTTTCTCTTACAAAGAATGAAATCTCTAGACTCAATTTACTTCTATTCAATTATTGTAAATACTTAAGTAAATTTCATGAGATTACTTATGATTTTACAAGTCAGTAGCCTCACAGAGATCTATGCTTCACTATTAATCCAATTCTTCCTGAAAATTTTCTAAGTAGAAGGAGTAGAAGTAGAAGGAACAGAAAAAAAATGCAGTTTTTTTCCTTTTCTATTCAGTCGCAGTTTAATATAATGTGATAAGCTTATACATGCACTAAACTGTATGCTAATTGTAATGGCTTCTTTGATATTAGAGTTACATATGGAATCATGTAAATTAGTAACAAATAAAGATTACCTTAGGTTTATGGCAAATGGCAACAAGGTTGTTTCTATTTTTGCTTGTAGATCAGTATCAGATCTCTTGGCAAAAATCTACTTCTTATAATTTGAAATATATTATAAGTAATATAATATATTTATATTACTTATATTTCAAATTATAAGATATAATTTGATTACTTAATATAAGTAATATGTAATTTATATAAAGCTGAAAAATAATTCTTTTCCAAATTATATCATTTCAGATTGAAGGGTGATGATTTACCTAGTTTGAGTGAGCTTCCTTACGAAATAGTTCCTTACATACCAAAAACTATAATGTAGGGACAAATGGTTAAATTAAATTTGCTTTCTATCTGACCCCTGGTCTCTTTGTAATAAACTTAACTTTTATTCAGTATATAAGGAAACACAGTTTTTTCCCCACTTCAATG